TGTTTTGTGAATTCATATGTCAAAGTTCTAACCCCTAGTAACTCAGAATGTGACTCAGAATGTTTGGATATAGGCCCTTTAAAGAAGTAATTAAGGCAGAATTAGGTCCTATAGGTGGTCCCTAATCCAATATAATTAGGTTCCTTATAAGAAAAGGAGATTAGGACACAGACAAGATACAGACTGAGGGGAGATCCTATGAGGAAACAGCAAGGAGGCAGACATCTATAAGCCAAGGAGGTAGGCTTCAGAAGAAAACAAACCTGTTGACACTTTGAACTTGGACTTATGTCCTCCAGAACTGTGAAAAAATAAATTTCTGTTGTCTAAACCACCCAGTCTGTGTTATTTTTTTATGGTAGCCCTAGCAAACTAATATGTCATGTTTTAAATCCAGAGTTGTTTTAAAGTTTCTTCTTTACTTTTCAGAAGTTTTTCACTTTAATTTTTTTTTAAAAAAATGTCTTTCCTCTTTTGCTTGAGCACCCTAGTAAGTCATACTTGGATATCTGGCTTCATTCATATACAGGAGTACAGAGATTTCACCAGATGTTAACGTTATTTGAAGGATGCCCAATGATTGAGGTGACTCTTGACTGGTACTTTGAATATAGCTTACATTTTTATACCTCTGTAAAATCCTTGTCTTATCATTGCTGACACCTATGTGTATCAGTTCGCAAACAGATTAGTTTTATAACTAATAAAATAAAGCAGTAAACTATATATAATTGATTTCTCATTCCCCTGCCCCCATCCTATGAATTTTTCTCCTTTTCTTGCTCTTTATCTTGGGTAAAATAGCAGCAGCAACACTATCCATGCAGGTTCAGGTGCTCAAGATAAAAATTTAGAGAGTCTTTCTTGATTCTTTGTTTTTCCCTGCCTCTTACATCTAACTCATTACCCACTTCTGTTCATTCCTCATTTAAAATATCTCATGGAAAAAGTCTTGTAATTTTAAACTATGATATTAAGTATGAATTGGAAATATCAATACAGACTCATGAATTAAAAAATATACATATGTGGGTACATGCATGTATGTATGTGTGTGTATATAATATATACATTCTAGCTGTGTTCACTGAAAGAACACAGAAGCAATGCTATTACTCTAGCAATGAGCACTCCTAGAAACCAGGTCTTGGTTTCTACTCATCCTTACTTACTGAAAAGAACCAAGATCTTTGGAGAAATAGCTAATTCCAGTTGTTGAACAGAAAAACTAAAAGGTAAATTTAGGACATTTTGTTGTATCAGAAAGCAAGGAAGTGCTCAGTGATTTATGGAGGCATGTTACAAGGACATAGGAGCTAGTTTGAAAGAGTTCCCACTAACCAAACTTTGGACAATTTGAACATAACTATATTGCTTATAAAACAATGAATACATAAAAATCCATGAGTCCATAGTGATACCCAAAAAGGTGAAAGAAGAGGGGAAAAAAAACCCTGCATTTGCCAGCATTGGAGGTGACTATGGAATAAATCCTTACTCTGAAATTGGTAATAAAAGGGAAGGAACTAAATATTCACCTTGCCTTTTTAGGAGGAATTGTATATCATCCTACTTGATGAGGGAAAACTCATCTTTAGAGAAGAATGCCAATGAAGGACTGATAATATTTGAAAGTCTGGTATACCCCTCCCAGTGAAATAACTGATTCAGGCAAAGATCATCAATGGTAAAAGATTATTACAAAACATGTATTCACATAGTGGCAAAGTTTACTTCCTAATTGTAAAGAGTACAAAGGAGAGATCTGGAAGTCACCACATCGACCAAGTGATCCACCTTCCAATCAATAATATGGGATAACCTTGCTTCATCTTCTTCCTGATGTAATGCAGATGAAATTCTTTAAATCATTTGTGACTTTTTCTTGACAAAAGTGTTTAACCTGAGTCTAAGCAAGCCTGTAGACCTAACTTCAAATATATAGGAGTTATAGGGAATTGAAGATCAATCAAATTACAAAGACACCTGCAGAGCAATCTGAACGTGAGATACTGTATAAGACAACTCTTTCACATTCCTCCAAAAGTCATTATCCTGGGGGAGAAAAATTAAGGGAACTGTTTTAGGTTAAAAGAGACTAAAGAGACATGACAACCAAATACAATATATGAATCTTGGTGGAAAACAGCTTTATAAAAACAACTAAAACAATTTTAGGGATAATTGGGGAAAATCTGAATACGAGACGTATATTAAATAATATGGATATTATATGATATTAATTTTGTTACCTGTGATAATGACATTTGGTTATATATAAGGAAATTCTTATTTTTAGGAGATATATACTTAGGTATGAATATTTAGGTATGAAGTATAAGATTTCTACAACTTTCAAAATAGATATACAACATATATATAAATATATGTGTGTGTCTGTGCATATGGAAAGAAAATAAATATGGCAAATAGTAACAATTGTTGAATCTATGTTGGATCTACATTGAGATTATACAGATATTTATTTTATTATCCTTTTGAGTTTTCTAGATGTTTAAACATTTTCATATTAAACAATTTAAGAAAATTTCCCTGCCTTTCCCCTTCCCTTTTCCTTTTATGCCTCTCCCATTCATCCCATGACCACTCTCCAGCTATAACTCTTCATCATCCCTTGCTGAACTTTTGTGGTGGCCTCCTGTGTTTCTGTCTTCAGTCTAAATTCCTCCAAGCCATCTGCCCGGGACAGCTTCCTAAAACTCAGCTCTTACCATTTCTCTACTCTGCTTTACTTTATCAATAGTCACCTCCTCCTCATCACCCGAGTGATAAAGTCTGAATAAGTGTAGCAAGCAAGGCCAGTCACACTTTTGTTCCAAACTACTCTGCCGGCCCATCCTCATTCGAGATATTCTCCTGCCACCTTCCAGCCTGTGCTCTACCAGGGGGTCACAAACTCAAATGCCTGTGTAGAGGACTAGGAATAAAACAGCAGAGGGGGTGGGTCTAGCGTGGACTGCGGTGCAGGAGTCACCTGCCAAGGGGGCAGCTGTTATTTGGGACCAGTTGAGAGTTGCCATGGGAGAATGTGGGCCTAGAGTTGCTAAATCTTTGTTTCCATTTAAATCAAAATTTATATATGAATACTCCTCCATTTTAAATGCTAACAAGAAATTTACTTTTTTTAAACATCGTACAGGATGAAATAAAAAAATTGTGAATGGCAGTGTGTGACTCTTCTGTGATGACTCCTTCACTCTGACTTCTTTGTCATTCTTCCTTCTCCTTCTGTCATCTACAGTACTTCCTCTCTTTCCTGGTGAAAGTCTGTGATCACTTCAAAACCCAGCAAGCAAGGCCATTCACGTTGCCATTTCCGCCCCTGCAGACCCGGTGCTCCCTGTTCGGTGCGTGGCAGCCAATGGCCCATACAACCTTCCTGCTAGGGCTTGTCATGGATTTACAGAGCTGGCTATCCCTCTGTGCCCCTGAAGTCTGAATCTTCACGATTAAGAACCACATTATTCATCTGTCTTTCTCCTGCACTGCTCACAGTATCTGGTATGAAGTCAGCATTCAATGAACACCTGTTGATTGAGTCGCAGGCTGTTAAAAGTAATGCTGTAGAAGAATTCAGGACATAGCTTTTATAACATCCAGTTGGAAATGTACTTAAAAATGTCTATAAACAATAAGAGAAAATTTCCTATTATTATATTCCAAGTAAGGGTGTCTGAGGATCATTTATCTATTGCAAGAAGTCACATAATCAAGTTTACCTTTAAAAAAGAAAAAAATTGCAAGTCAGGACTCCTTCTGACCCCTCAACCCCAGACAGTGATAATATTGTTTCAAAGACCACCTTGAACAATCTTGATCAAGATCCGGCCAAGGGCTGGGCCCGGTGGCTCATGCCTCATGCTACAGCCTCATGCTGTAATCCTAGCACTCTGGGAGGCTGAGGTGGGCGGATTGCTCGAGGTCAGGAGTTCCAAACCAGCCTGAGCAAGAGCGAGACCCCGTCTCTACTATAAATAGAAAGAAATTAATTGGCCAACTGATATATATATAGAAAAAAATTAGCCGGGCATGGTGGCGCATGCCTGTAGTCCCAGCTACTCAGGAGGCTGAGGCAGCAGAATTGCTTGAGCCCAGGAGTTTGAGGTTGCTGTGAGCTAGGCTGACACCATGGCACTCACTCTAGCCTGGGCAACAAAGTGAGACTGTGTCTCAAAAAAAAAAAAAAAAAGGTGCTCTAAACCTGCCTGAAGCTATGTAAGACCTGAGTGCCGGAGTGTGCGCTGAACCAAGTCACCTTCTCTCTTCGGACATCAATTCCTGCCAGTACTTGACACATTCGATTCTCTCATTCTTGTCCCTTTCATGTTTTGCTTTTCTGAAATGCTTTCCTCCTCTTACTCAGAATTCCCACCAAAATCCACCTCAGACTTCTTCCAAGGACTGACAAATACTGCCTGCCTTGATTGTTCCTTCATACTGTATTCTTCATTTATCTGTGTTCCTCTTTGTTGGGTATGACCTACTCTGGGGTAGGATGTATAATAAGAATAATGATGACATTAAGAATAAGATAATATGATAATGAGAGTCATTTGAGGGCCCTCATTAAAAATAATAGTTCCCCAGACCTCTCCCTAGAGATTCTGATTCAGTGGATCTGACATGGAGTGGGAATGGGTATAAGTATTAGTACTTTTAACAAGTGCCACAGATAATTTTTATCATCAAGTAACTGTAGGAAACACTGGCGTCATCCTTAGAGGCATGGATTTGGCATTAGACCATGAGGCTGGGCTTTCCTGCCTATTAGCTGTGTGTAACACTAGGCAAGTCACCCTGCTCTAAGCCATGATTTTTTCATCTAGAAAATGGGGATGATAATCACCAACATGAGTTTGTTCTGGGGAATAAATGATTCATGTAGAGCATGACCACAGTGCCTGGAACATTCTTAGTTCTCAGCAAATGTTTGACAATTATGTTTCTATCTTGCTTGTAATTTGCTTGGTTATGTTACTATGAATCAAGACCTGGATGACGGTTTTATTGGTTCTTCTGCAGCACCATCGCGATTCAGGGTAGGACGACCCAGAAGATTTCACCCCAGCCAAAGGTCAGAGCCTGCCAACCCCTGCCAAAGTTTTATTGTCTCAACGCCCTTTGTTCTCTGTGATTTTATCTGTCGTCTCCATTAAAGTGCAGAAAAGTCTTTAGCTGAAAGACTCAAATCTAGGAACAAAAGTAAGTTTTGAAGGAAAGAAAATGTGCTCACTTTTAACATAGTCTGTTGGGCTAGTGATCACTTAGATAGGTACACAGTTTCAGCAGACAGTTGGAAATATGGGTTGGGAAATAGGTCTAGCCTAGAGACATAGATTTGTGAATTGTAGAAATAATAGTTGAAACAATGAAAATGGAGAGAGTGTAGACCAAAAAGAAAAAAAATTATTGGATCCTTATGAAACAAGTATGTCAGAGAATGGAGGAGAAAATAAAGAAGGAATAATAAGAAATTTAGGAGGAAAACCAAGGGGATTATAGTAGTAAAAATAAGGGAGAATTTCAAATAGAAGATGATGATCAAAAGTACCCAATGTGAAGGACTTTCGTTTCTGGCTATGACAAATTTACTGGTATCAGCCCTCTTGCCATGAATAGCTGTAAAACTGAACAAAATATATGAAGCAACTGTTTTCAGACATTGGAATTCAGGCAGTGCTGAACTTTGATCCCTGGGCATAAGGAAACATAAGACGAGCCCCTCAGTCACCCTGTCTTTTTTTCTGGAGGCACAGAAAAGTGGAGCCCAGTTCGGTAACAGTCGCCTTGCTGAGATTAAGAAGCAGAGATCAGCGTTCAGGGCTATTGAAGTGGTTAGAATTTGCAGGTCAGGGTAACTAAGAGAAAAGAGCTGTACAAAGAAACAGGTCCAGAAATCTCCATCGAGGTACTCTTAAGTCTGTGGCTGAATACTAGGCTTCTCATTCTCTGGGTGACTCCACAGAGTCTGGTGAAAAACAACTACTGTGGAGCTATAAGCTGAGTGGAGATCCAGAAAGTGCACAGAGCTGGAGACACAGACATTCTGGGTGGAGAGACCTCATGGACTCCCTGGAGTTTTCAGTGAAGACCCCAGGAGGCCATACAGTAGGAGTTAGGGCAACTCTAGCCCTAGAGTAAAAGTTATTCTGTGTTCATCCAGATAAAGCTCAAAAACAGCCTTGTAAAAATCAAGCCGACCCACCAGTATACTAAAAGAACAAAATTCAACACTCTTTAAATCCAGACCGATTAATGTAGCATTTAATGTCCAGCATACAATTTATTTATTTATTTGTTTATTTTTGAGACAGAGTCTCACTCTGTTGCCCAGGCTAGAGTGAGTGCCGTGGTGTCAGCCTAGCTCACAGCAACCTCAAACTCCTAGGCTCAAGCGATCCTCTTGCCTCAGCCTCCTGAGTAGCTGGGACTATAGGCACATGCCACCACACCTAGCTAATGTTTTCTATTTTTAGTTGCCTGGCTAATTTTTTTTTCTATTTTTTTAGTAAAGACAAGGTCTTGCTCTTGCTCAAGCTGGTCTTAAACTCCTGACCTCAAGCAATCCTCCTGCCTCGGCCTCCCAGAGTGCTAGGATTACAGGCATGAGCCACTCCAACTCCAAGTATCTAGCATACAATTTATTCAACAAAAATTAGTAGATATGTGAAGAGGCATGACCACAAAAGATTTTTTTTCAATAGAAACATACCCAAAGATGACATAGATGTTGAAATTAGCAAGCAAGGACTTTAAAAGAGTTCTTATAAATATGTTTAAGGATTTAAAAGAAAATATAAACTCAAGTGAACAGAGGAAAATTCTCACTAGAGAAATGGAAATTATAAAAGAAAACAAGCTAGAAATTCTAGAACTGAAAAAAATATAATACCTGAAATTTTTAAAAAGTCACCAAATAAGCTTAGCAGCCAACTGGATTCTGCAGAATCAAAAAGCTTAGTGAACTTGAAGACAGAGCAATATAAACTATTTGAGCTGAAGCACATAGAGAAAAAAAGCTGAAAAAAAAAAAAATGAACAGAGCCTCACTGATTTGTGGATAGTATGTGGTAGCCTAACATCTGTGAAACTTGAGCTCTAGAAGAAGAGATTAAGGCAGAAAAAATATTTGAAGAAATAATAGATAAAAACAATCAAAATTTGATGAAAAATATCAACCCATGAATCTAAGAATCTCAATAAACCCCAAGTATGATAAAAACAAAGAAAACTACTTCTAAGCATATAGTAGTCAAGTTTCTGATAGCCATGGTTTAAAGAGAAAAGTTTTAATAACAGTCAGAGAAAAAAGACCCTTTCTACACAAGACCCAGGAGATAATAATGCTGACTTCTCAACAGGCAAGAAGAGAACGGAATAATATCTTTAAAGAGCTAAAAATAATAAAACTTGTGAACCTGGAATTAGAAACCTAGTGAAAAGGTCCTTTAAAAAATGAAAGGGAAAAAGAAGGAAAGCAAGAAAAATTGGAGAGAGGAAAAAGGGAGGAAGGAAGGGAGGAAGGAAGGAAGGAAGAGAAGAGAAGAGAAGAGAAGAGAGAGAAGAGAAGAGAAGAGAAGAGAAGAGAAGAGAAGAGAAGAGAAGAAAAACATTGCCAAATAAAAACCGAGGAAATTTTTCTTTTCTTTTTTTTATTTCAGCATATTATGGGGGTACAAATGTTAAGGTTACATACATTGCCCTTGTCTCCCCTTCCCCCTCGCACTTGAAGCTAAAACTGAGAGAATTTGTCAATCGTACACATGCACTGTAAGAAATGTTGAAAGAAGTTCTTCAGGCTGAAGGAAGTGATATCAGATGTAAACTTAGATCAACATGAAAAATGAATAGTACTAGAAATGGTAAATACATGGGTAAATAGAAATTACTTTTTTCCTTGCTTATTATTGAGTGAGTAAGACTCTTAATTATAGAGCTGAGTACTTCGTAAACATTGCAGTAGTCTGGGAGTCAGGAAATTTAAGCTCTGATCCACTTCTAAGAACTTAGATAAGTGGCTTAATCTCTTATTTTGGTTTGATCATGGGCCAAGTAGGATATTAATACTTATATTCATCTCTTATTGGTAAACATTCAAAAAATGTTTCTTTTTATCACTGCCAAATACCTCAAAAGAGCTATCTACCCATTACTTCTCAAATTTAATGTGCATATTAATCACCTAGGGATCTTGTTAAATTCAAGCTATAATAATAGTTATTGTATTAGTAAAAAGATAAACAAATAGATCAATGGAATACAAAAGAAATATATCCTTTTTTTACCCCTTTTACTTCTAACCTATTGTTACTTCTAACTTCTATACTTACACTTTATACTTAAAGTCTCTCTCTTATAAATTGTACTGAGTTGGTTCTTGTCTTTTTATTCATTTTAATAATCTCTACCTATTAATTGCAATGTTTTAGTCCAATTACATTTAATATAATTTTTGATATTGGGTTTATATCTACCATCTTGCTAATTGTTTTCTCCCATGTATTTGTTTTGTCTCATTTTTTGGTGGTTGTTCCTTTGTTTCTCCATTCTTTCTTTCTTTTGGATTTCTTGAGACTTTTTAAGTATTCCATTTTATCTCCTCTATTGACTTGCAAACTATACCTCTTTGTTTTATTTTTTAGTGGCTGATCTAGGGACTGAAGATTTCATACCACTACATGTGTAGCGTAAAAACCTTACAAAAGTAAACTTCCTATTCCCCAATTTGTCCTTTGCACTATTATCATACTTCTACATACATTAAAAGCCCCACAATGTTTTTACTATTTTTGCTTTAAATAATCAATTGTCTTTACAACATATTAAATAAAGTTGGTATAATAGCAATTCTGGAAATTTTCCTAAGTGATTCCTCTGATTAATGTATTTTCCAAACGTAGTATGTTAAGTCCTTTACAAGCCCTACCTGCTGGGGCTGGGTGAAGCAATTCTTCAGTGAAGTCACTGCTACTGTCCTGATGGCTACTCCTCAGAATCTCCAGAATTCACACCGGAGAAAGAGGAGAGCAGGATGCATAGAAAGGAAGGGAAATACCAGCAAGTAGACAGGGAGAATGAAACCACTTTGGTCTGTATTTTAAAGTCTCATTAAGCTTAACTTTTAATGAAGTATAATAATTTGAAGAGATGTATTTGCTTTTAGAAAGCAAGTTGTAAGTCACTTGGGGGTTATTTCACACAGGGAGATGCGGATAAGTATATTTGAATTGTTAGTAATTCGAGTTACAGCTCTAGAAAGCAAAATTCAAGTACTAAAGAATGAGTCTTTACTTGAAATCTCTGGGGAGAAAAAGAACTTTGCTTCCTCTCAAGGTCGTCTGGTGTTTAAAGAAAATGTGTCCTTAATGATTTAATAATACATGACATAAGGGCTTACATTTTTTAAATTATGCCACAGTTTAAAACCTTATTTTTTTAGGCAGAAAAGTAAGATTGCCTTAAATTTGCAAGTGTCATATCTGAGTTAAAGTTGCATTCAACAACACATTATAAATATACACTTCCTGATAATCAAAATATTTACACAATCACTGGGTATCCCAATTTAAATATATGTTCACATTATGCCTTAAATCTGTATTTCCTTTCGATATTCTTGTATTTTATAAGAATAGAAAGATTATCTAGGAATTTTCTATAATGAGAATGGAAACCTTGTTAATATCTGAATCATGCTCAGTGTAAAACAGAGAATTGGGGCCATTTTAACAGTCAGTATCCTTTCTTGGCTTGGAATGGTAGAGCACTACTATAAAAAGGACTGCTTTTATTTATTTATTTTAAAATTCGAAATATTACTAAGTGCCATAGTCCTTCATCTCTGAAACTACTAGCTGTGCCTTACATACCAGTAGAGAGCATGAGCCGTGGCCATTCTTTGCATTCTGAGTGCTTAGTGCTGTGTTTCCTTATCTCATGGGCTGTATTACATCTTTAATTTAAATAAGCCCTCATACTTGTGATTGCTGTGCATCAAGTTACTGGCTGTGTGGCTTGCCTTCCAGCTGTTCTCTGGGCCTGAACTCATAGGAAGCAGACACAGTTGTGAGAGTCCTAGTGCTGTTCTGTTAGCTTAAATCATCCTGGTGGTATCCCCAAATCTTCTGATATAAGAATTATTTTTTCCTGTTTTGAATTAATGAAGCAGAAACGCAAGCTGTGAGCAATGTCTATAAATAGACTTTGTTATTTTATGTAGCATGTCTTCCATGTTAGCACCTGCAAGAAGATAGTATGTATTACATTAGTTTCATAACAATAGTGTTCATACAGAATGATAGCAGGAAGACAAACTGGGTTTTATTTCTTACTGGTTATTATTGGTTGATGATGTTCCTGTGAGGAACATGGTATTAGGTTAAATCACATGACACTGCTATTTGTGTAGATAATTTTATATGGCTCAACCTATTAGGAAGCAAAGCAGCTTCAGTTCTAGGAGATAAGAGGCATTTTAATTAGTACTTTCTACATCATTGTGAGTCTGCTACAAATATTTTAAATTAATACATATAATTTAAATATTAGAACTTGAAAGGCAAGACTTGTTTTGCTCCTATTCTCACTCTGTTTTTACTCTTTGTCATTGTTCTGTTGCTTTCAAGGAAAATGGAGATTTTATATACAGAACATCTGACATTTGCCACTCTGTAGCCCCTTGAGTGGTAAACAAGTAAAAACACAAATACTACTTATTCAGTTGTGGGTTAAAGTCATCTTTAGATTCTTCTTACAATAATTTAAACTTGCAGCTATTCCTTTATGAATTTTTATGAATTCCTTTTCTGTAAAGAAGAGAATTCCATCACAGGAATATGTTAGAATTATTGAAATGCCTTCCCCCTCCTCTTCTTCCACATTTCTCTATTTGCAGTTTCATCTGTACAGAAGAGGAGCTCTGGTAGCTTCGGCTGAGAATTTTCAGTAGGAAATGCTTCAATACAAAGCAAGTGTTATTTTCAAGGCAGACCTTCTACAATTATATTCAGGTAAGTTAAACTTTGGATGTCATTCTTTATAGCTAAAACACATTTAATTATGTTAATCAAAATGCACTTGCATTCAAGTGTTCTTCTATATCACTACTCCTGGATGGATTTAAATTATATTGACAGAAAACATCCATTTCCTCACATTTTCAAATACCACGCAGGTTTCAGAACCTGATCTTCAGCATGGTTGTTTTTGAAATAAAAATGTAATTCAGCTAAGACTGATCTTGTTTTTCCTTTATTCTTTAAGCCAGAAGCAATTACTTTTCATTTCAGGATTAAGCGGCTGTAACATTGCCATTCGTCGCTGAGGCTCCTGGTTTCAGCACGTCTCCTTGGTTCCCAGCCAGTCCTGGGTGTTCAGGTAGCAGCTGTGGCTGGGAGTGCCTCTCCAGCCCACATTCCTTGGCCATGAATTTTGCAGCCCTGTTTATCTGATGAAGACCTCCCCGTAGTGAATTGCTCATGACATTGTCACATAGACTTTAATGAATGATATGGAAAGATCCTAAATATATTTTCCTCCTGGAATGCCAACCAATCCTCAATTTCCCAGCCCCTTGGTTCTGGCTGACCTCTGCAAAGGCCTGGTACTGAGATCTGATGAGACATTCCTACATAAACCACATTTTAACAGGATGCCTACAAGTCTACTCTGTGAGGCTGTCACCCAAGCCACTTCAGAGAATTTTCAACAAATATATTTGCCCATTTACTGAGTCTCGCTTGCACTAATTATTTATTTCAATTTATACTTTTAATCCACAAATGCAGTCACTAGTTTCAATGCACAAAGACTTCTCTTCTTTTTCTTGAAACCCATGACTTCCCTTGGGATAACAGAGGTGGTTTATAGCATGGCTTTCTTATTATTTCACGTCTTCATTTTGCTTTCCCAAACCAGATTGCAAGTTTCTTGAGAGAGGAGACCCTGAGAACTAGAAACATCCATACAGACAGAGAAATAGAAAAAAAATTGGACAGACAGCCTTTTGTTGCTCTAATAATCCAGAAAATTTGCCTTAACACGTTCAGAAGAGATCTTCTGCTGTGGCATGTGACTCTGCTCCTTTCCCCCGCCTGCCCTCTGCTGGAATTGCTAATGAGCAGTAAGATGGCCAAAGCAGGACATTGCACAGGAAACGTGGGGAAGCAGGGGCTTGTCTGACTGAAAGGCAAGTTGAATGGCTGTGATTTGTGAATCCACAATCGAGACCTCTGAAGCTCCTCATTATATGCCTCTTGATAACTACTAGCCTCCTCACAAGTCTCCTTATGGTTCACCGTGCACAGGGATGTGATTCTGCCTACCCACAAGAGATGGCCCAAGTGACCTTGTGAATTCTCTTTCTCCACTGCGCTTCTTTCATCTCTAAAGTCATCCAGGGGATGACAGACAGCCGAACCAGGTGGTGCCCCTCCCAGACACAAATGCCCTCCCTGTCACCATCCCCTCAGAGCCTTCACCACCTTCATCTGCAAAAGGCATTTACTAGGGGCTGGCAAGACTGCCAATCTGGAGATGCAGCACAGGAGACAAGTCTGAAACTCTAGCCTGGTTTCCTGTTTCGAAGGGCAGCAGGATGCGACAGCTGCTGAGGCAGCCCTTTGCCCTTGGAGAGGGGAAGCTCGAGAATGTGATCACTAGGTCACCTCTCCCTGCTGCGGTCTCACGGGAGGTGTGGACAGTCTCCCTCCCCTACCCACTCTTGGTCAGTTGTCTAGAAAAGAGGAGGAAAAACATGTTTTTGCTTTTTTAAAAAATTGTTATTAAAAGAAGACACACTCTGGGGAAGCAGAATCCATTAGCTGAATCCATTTTAGCATCCATGGTTAATTAATTTAGGCAGCCTTAATGCTATTTTATTATGTAGCCTTTAAGAGCTGTTCTGGTAAATGCCCATCCCATAAATACTAGCTCTACTCTGTATGTGTAATATGCTTTTTGGAAGGGTGAGTCTGAATTATTATCCAGATATTAATCTGCATACAATCCCATCCAGCTAATGCAAAGATGCTTCCTCATATTTTGAACATTATTCAGTACATTCAGAAGTGAGGAAAAAAACTGCTCAGATATGACATTCTGCATTTTAAGTCAATCTGCTTGCTTCCAAAAACATAATTTTTAACATCAATTTCACCATTCTACAGACTAAATAATTGATTTCCGTATTTCATTCTGTAAATTAAACACTAGACTTTGAATTACTCGAAGAATTATTGGCACAGTTAGCCAATAAACCTTTCTTATAAAATGACAGCATTTTAATTTATTATGTGCATTAGCATTTATTCATGCCTAAGATTTCATCAATCAATTTTCCATTTTAAAAAGATGTCTCTGGAAACAACAGTGGAGAAATGCTGAGTTCCAAAAGCAATGTTGTGAAAGGCAGCAGGTCGAGTGTGCTGGCCACACATAACTAAATTATAGTCAATAGCTATGTGGCTCCAAGTATAAACCCACATTTTCTAAAGTATCTACCTTATGAACTGACTTTCCTGGAATGTTAGAATTTTAAAAAGAAAATATTTAAATTTTACTATTTAAGAGGTGTGGTATATTTGTTCAATATTACAACAACTTCTGATATTATTTTAAAATATTTATTTTGTCATTTTAACAGCCTTTTTCTACACTGCTCTGGGTTTTAATTTTGTTTACAGTATGACATTTTAATAGTTGGCTCCAGATTAAATGAATATTTGTATTTTATGGTGATTTTATTAATTAGTTGCTTTTGAAAAATATTTTAAGCTGAAAGTTATTCCAAAATAGAAGCTCTAAGAATCACTACCACCAAGTTAACTTTAAATCATTTAATTCACTCAAAAAAATGTATCTAATACATATCAGAACTGACTTCTCCATAGGCAAGATAGGCATAGCACCTGGGGCCCACGATAATTTTAAGAGCCTATGAAAATACTTTAATTTTTTTAAAAAATCAGAAGAAAAAAACATATTTTAGGTCAAAGAAAGTGTTTATAAATAATATTAATATATTCATCTTCATACCAACATAGTAAATATAATTTTTAATATTTTTGTGCTTAAATTAATTTTTAATATTTTTAATGGAAGAAAGAGCCCATGAAGAAAAAAGTTCCCTGGACCCATAAAAGTCATCATGCAACCCTACATACTATAAGCCAAACTTAATCTAGTATAGATTAAAGGAATAAAAAGGTAAGCAGGACACAGTTTCTGTACCTAATGAAGAAAATGGACATAAAACAGTTTATAATGTGATTTATTCCTTTGAAATTGTTTGAAATAGTAATTACAGACTGAAAAACACAGGATTTTACTACAAACTGTTATTTAACACATAGGCTTGGCCTTATTCATCTTTCATTGTTTATATAAGGTTTACATATATTTTAATGCTACATAGACAATTAGCATAACTTTGTATATTTGTTTATTTCAAACACTACTGATACTGCTATCCAGATCTATATGTCGAAATGTTCATATTTTATAAGCACCTTTCATCGATAGGGCAAAAGGAAATTCCAGGTCCTGAGTATCAGTGGTCCAATAAGGAAAATGAGAAGTGAGATTTAGTTCTTCCTAGCTTAGAACAGTTTACTTACTTATGTCCTTCCAAGTTTTTTGGAGGCTTCAGAAATAGAACAGAATCTTGGCTGAACTTTCCCTCTTCATAAAATTTCTCATTTATATTCAGCATTTATTTTTTTTCCATTGCTGTTCCTAATGTCATAATTGGGATATTCAGAATGTTCTCCTTAACCTAAATCTTTTTTTTTTTCTTTTTTTCCTGAGACAGAGTCTTACTCTGTCGTCCCCAGTAGAGTGCAGTGGTGTTATCATAGCTCGCTGCAACCTCAAACTCCTGGGCTCAAGCAATCCTCCTGTCTCAGCCTCCTGCATAGCTGGGAATACAAGGATGGGCCACACACAACACCCAGCTAATTTTTCTATCTTTAGTAGAAACGGAGTCTTGTTCTTGCTCGGGCTGGTCTCGAACACCTGAGCTTAAGCAATCCTCCAACCTCTGCCTCCCAGAGTGCTAGGATTATAGGCATAAGCCACTGCACCTGGCCCCTAAATCTTACTTGTCAATATTTGAGTCCATTTTCATATTTTTTGTTGTCAATTAGAGAGTGATTTCTGAACATTTTCTATTTTTAGAGCAATTTTACCCGCATTATCTTATTACATGCACAAAAGCTTTTTGAATAAGTAGGGCATCATAGGACAGTGGAAAGAACACAGACTCAGACAAAACCTGGGTATGAATCTAAATTCTGCCAATCAAGCTGTACAATCTTGGTCTCTTCATCTAACCTCATTTACATCTCAGCTTCCTTATCCCTAAAATGAGGATCATTATGCATGTCTCAACAAAGTTGCTGTTAAGAATTAGAATAATATATGCTAAGCATCAGACCAGTACCTGGAATATAGTAGATGCTAAATAAGTAGTTGCTATTATTATTGGCCATATTTTACAAATTAGGGAACTGAAACACAGACATATTAAATACTTAGGCCAGTGTTGGGGGTTTAGCATACCCAATTATTTCAGGCAAATGGCATTCTTATTTTGATCAAGCCTTATTGAGTATGTGGGTGTAGAACACAAAGAAAGTGCAGAAGCAAAAGGTACAGAAAAAGCACTGACATCAAAGCACCTGGTAAGTATAAAGCCTTCTGTGCACAAGTTGGACCATTTTGGGTTGCAAATGACAGAATCCCAACTTGCTCACACAAAAAGGATTTGTTGGCTGATGTCACCTAAACACAGGATGTGATGAGCTGGTCTTGGAGATGTCTGGATTCAGGGGCAAGAACACCTTTAGGACTTGTACTCTGTGTTTCTGACTCATGGTTCTAGTTCTCTTTGCCGATGAGCTTTCTCCATGCTATGGGGAACGTGGCTGCTCGGAGCTTTGATCTCTCATCTCAGCAGCAGTTCTACCAGCGAAAAAAGATTCCTTCCTCTTTGGCTCCAGCCTGGAAAGAATCCCAAGAATCACTTGCAGTGGATCATCTCAGGTCATATATCTTCCCTAAACCAATCACCAAACCAGGAAAATGGTGTAATATGATGGGTCCAATTAAGAGCACATGTTATCTTTGTTATCAAAATAAAGAGAAGTGCATTGGGCAAGCAAAAATAGTGACCTTTACCCCTAATGATATGTATCCTGGTTACTACTTGGATGACAGATGTAATAGAGAAAGTAATGTTTTAATGGTAGAGCTGATTCAAAGAGCCAAGAGACTAGGCTCTTGGAATATCTGAGATACCACAAGGCCCAAGTGAACATGTCATGTGGCCTGCTCAGCCAAGAAGAGAAACTGATCATACTTCTGCCCCCCAGTTGTGTTATCTCATAGACTACAGATTTAAATTTATTTCTTAACATGCATATTTTTTAAAGAAGAATGTTATAAATACTTGAGTATTGTCTTAGAGAAAGCAGAACTCTCTAAAGAGAGTAACTAGAGGTTGGACCACAGAATTGACATCCCCGTTGTTTGAAAAATTGCAGGATGCCTTTTTCTGTTGGAAAGCATTATTCTAACAGATTGCTTAATGCTTTTCCTTCTTATAGAGCGGGCTGGGGGTGGGGACTCAAACCAGACTTATCAATTGGATTGTATAGTGAATGAACTTCTCTTAACGTCTTTGCTGGGGTGAGTTAAGACATTGAACTGTCTACTCTTGTCTGAAGTGGTTCAATGACCACTCACCACTACATTAGTGGAATGTCTATTATTAATATATTGTATTGGAGATCTGGTGACCTTGTGACTGGTTGAGGAGTCAGTGTTTTGACTTTTTATGCCAACATCATCATTTCCCCACTCGTTTCACATTTCTCCTATCAGTTTGGCCCTCAATTCAAGGTTACCTTCATTACTTTCAGGTCTTTAGCCATGGATCTTTCTGTACTATTTTTATCTCAAAATGTTCTAGTCTTTTCATGAACTCACTTTTTCTTCTTTTGTGTTTCAGAATTAGAGATATCTTTACTCTTTTCCAGCACTAAATTCTTCCCTTTTCCACTTCCTTTGGAAACTAACTTCATCCATTACTTCATCTTCTATTTGCATCTTCAATTATCCCTCTCCACTGCATCTTTCTGCACTTACCCACCTACAAGCCTACCCTCTTGTGATAGCATCAAATGAGATCATGCATGGGGAAGTGCTCTGTTGCTCTAAAGTAGAATATAAATACAGAATAGTATCGTAATCCTGTCTTTCTTCTTCACTTCATAATCATTTCAAAAAACTATCAATATGAAGTATTTCTTGATTTTGCTATATCATTGTTCAACTCATTACTTCATGTCTTAAAATCTGAACTTTGTCTCCCAAAGTTCCATTTTGGCAGTCCATATCTTTGTTTATCTTTCCCAGCATTTGACACAGTTAACTACTCCCTCCTTCCTTGATTTCTGTAACTTCACTGCCTTGCTTTGCCTCCTCTCCCTCTGACCTCTCCTGTCTCTCTTTCAATGCTTATCTTTTTCCTTTTACCTCTGAATGTGAGTGGTCTCCATCACTCTGTCCTCTCTCACTCTCTCTCTCCCCTTCTCATAAATACTCCTTGAAACCACCCACAGATCTTTCTCTCTTTTATGGGCTGAGTAACAATTTTAACTTTATACCTAGAGATCACTAAATCTTCTATGCCAATACCCTTCTCAGAACTTATGCTAAACATGTTTAAAATGGCCTGTATAACATGCCTGGTAAGTAACACCTGGGTGCAATTTGACTATTATAAATAATAGCAATGGCATGACAAAAACACATTTCATAGCTATATGTCTTTATTAATTTGCATCTTCAAATATAGTCAGTATCTTCATATAATGACATTTCAATCATATTTGATTCAGAAGGCTGAAATTTTGAGGATCTAAAGACGTGCTAATGAATATACAATGAACATATTTCTTGAGTTTTGAAACTTTTTCATCAATCATCAGAAAATAATTCCAGTTTCTGTCTAACCTCATCAGAAACATCACCTTTCAATCTCTAAGACTCAAGTTCTCTTACTTTATTTCTGCAGATCCTATTAACAAAGAATGATTGAGGACAGTTTCAGTTTTTACAATTTTAACATTAAGGATGTTTGATTTAACAATAGCATACTGTGCAGCTGTAAAAAAGAATAGGAGAGCTCTTTATGTGTGTATATGGAAAGATCTCTGTTAGGAAATGAATGTCTGTGTCCCTCTCAAAATTCATGTGTTAAAGTCCTAACCACCAATGTGATGGTATTTGGATATAGGGCCTCTGGGAGGTAATTAGGGTTAGATGAGGTTATGCAGGTGGGGCTCTCATGATGGGATTAGTGCCTTTATAAGAATAGATAACAGAGAGCTTGCTGGCTCTCTGCCATCTGAGGACTCAGCAAGAAAGCGGTCAACTGCAAGCCAGGAAGAGACCCCTCACCAGACCCTGACCATACTGGGACCTTGATCTTAGACTTTCAGTCTCCAGAACTATAAGAAAATAAATTTCTATTGTTTAAGCTG